GATAAAGTACAGGTAGTCCTCAACTTACAACAGTTCGCTTAGTGACTGTTTGAAGTTACAATGGCACTGAAAAAGTGCCCCCCCAAGCCACAGCCAAGCAAGACACCTGCCTGCCCGCCCGGCGGAGCTCTTCCTCCTGTCCGAGGCTTTCATTGTTGTGAGCATTTCTATTGAGGATTGGCAGCGGGGATGGGATGGGAGGTGTTTGGTTTTTATTCCCCCCCGTCTCCTGGGTGGTTGCAACAGGTTTTGGTCACTTCACATGACCCTGGGACACTGTGACAGTCATAAATATGAATCAGTTGCCAAGTATCTGAATGTAAATCACAAGACCTGGAGATGCTGCAACATTCCAGCTGATCGGTGCTTCTTCTGGGCTCAGCAGAAGCACCAGGATCAGCGCTGAGCTCTAGTTGGAGCCTGGCGTTGATCCTGGTGCTTCCACTGAACTCTGGCAGCCTGGAAGAAGCGCTGATCCTGGCACTTCCGCTGAGCCCTGACAGCCCTGTAGCTCTAGCCATCTCTCACTCAGGCTTGTGCGATGTTGCCACCGGTTCAGCTCATTCCCCTCCCCCGCTACCAGTTTTCTAGGATGGTCGCGTACTACCTGCCAGGTGCCAATGTACCACAGGTGGTACCCATACCACTGGTTGAAAAGCCCTGGACTAGGAGACCAAAGTCATGCATGCTAATACTTATTGTATTATAAGGTTATAGTAACAGAATCTTGCAATTTGAATGTGCTTCCATTGTCCCTCCATTCATTGTTGTGATAACTAAGGAGGGTCTTGTCTAAGATGTTTAGTCAAGTTATATATTGCTCACAAAAATAAAGGGAACACAAACGTATAGGATCCTATACGTTTGTGTTCCCTTTATTTTTTTGAGCAGTATAGTTCTGATCAGAATTTCTTTTATCTCACCACTGCCTAGCTTACAGATCTTCCTCCTGTTATCCTTCTTCTCATTACAGCAACCCATTCCCAAGCCCTAGTAAATTCAATATATAAGCTGCATCCATTAGATATGAATATTTTCAAAATATTCCCTATATTTTTGTGGGGGGACTGGATAGGCACAGTGTGAGTTTGTGATGACTTTGCATGAGTGATGTATTGGTTGCAGGAACTTGAACGAATTAATTGTACACATGACTAAAATGCATGCAAACAGATCTTTTAGTTATTGACTAAAAAGGTACAGTAATGGAGATGCCAATTAGCAAGAACATTAAAAAATGCATACACAAGCTATTGAATTTAAATTTATATCCGTATTAAATAATTGCAAATAACATAGGTTAAAGTGTTATGTACAGATACTCCTTGCTTATTATCACAATTGAGCCCAAAGTTTCTGTTGCTAAGCAAGATATTTGTTAAATAAATTTTGGCCTAATTTTACAACTTTTCTTGCCACAGGTATTAAATGAATCACTGCAATTGTTAAGTTAGTAACACAGTTGTTAAGTAAATTTGGCTTCCCCACTGACTTTGCTTGTCACAAGGTTGCAAAAGGTGATCACGTGACCCTGCAATAGTCATAAATATGAACCAGTTGCAAGCACCCAAATTCTGATCACATAACCATGGGGATGCTACAATGGTCATAAGTGTGAAAAACAGTCATTAATCACTTTTTTTAGTATCTTGAAACTCCAGTCACTAAATGAACTCTTGTAAATCAATTACCTATACTTTATGTCTTTATAAAAACTCCATGTAATTAGTTCCCATTTGACAAAGCCTTGAATCATGCAAAAAAGAAAAACATTTAACATATAGAATTATAATCCCAAATGCTCCTGTCAAGAATTAAGTAATATAGATGTGATTATATCTAAATACATATGCATAATAATCCAAGTTGGAAGGGATAGAGTTCAGAATTTATTTTAAAATAAAAATGTACAGCAAATGTTCAGGTGCATAAATAGATAAATTCTTCTGGAAAAAATATTTCAGGATCTTTGGAGTTTTGATAAAAACTCCAAATGAAGAAATGTTCTAGAAAAATAATTAAAGGAGTCCAATAAGTGAAACTAATTATTTTATGAATCAAACAAAACTGCAAAAAGACATCATTAGTTTACAAAAATATTGTGAGTAGAATTCAATGTGAATTTGTAGTTGCTCAACCCTCTTCTATCTTGTCTATAATGATTAATTTAGAAGGAAATCCAAACAGCTGACTCTTCTGTGAAATAGGAGGATGCTGTTTCTTCTGCAAAAGTTGACCTTTTGCCTACTAAACTTTAGCTGTAGAGGCATTACAGCCCTGGCAATTTCATAGGCCAAAAGTCTTTGTTCCCAGCACTGTGAACTTTCCCCGACTAAACTTCACTTTCAGATAAAATGTGTCCTAAATCAATAAGTTGACATAGCTTTTCTAACTGTGCATTGTATCTATCTAGTCTTATCTGTACCAGAAAGTTGGGCTATGAACTTTCTTCTCTAATTGTTTATGCTAAAGGCCAATTACAAGAATTGCTTCTTATTGATGGCAACATAGCTTGAAAACAATTATATATAAATTTTCACTTGGAATGTTCTAAGCAGGCCAAACTAGATATGACCAAACCATAAGTTCAAAAATCTCAGAACTTGCTGATTTATATTTTTCCAGCCATTAATTTTAGTTGATCATTATGAGAAAGGTCATTTAGTTGATCATTCCATGAAAGTACATTTCTTAAAAAAAAACAATCCATCTAAACTGATATCCATTTGCATTAATAGCAGTTCATGAATAAATTCAGACATGAAAAATGCCCAATTAGATTCAAATGCTGCATTTGATCGCACAAAATGGCTCCTCTTGATCCTAAAAGCGGACCCTGCACCTGTGAGAAAAATGCCAAGATGATGATGATTAATACCAGTTCATGCCCAACAAGAAGACTGAATAACTTTCTCTGCCAATAAAAAAAATTGCTGATGCCAATTTATTTTTTAAAAGATGAGACTACTGTTAAATCTTTTATACCTCCTAAAGTCTGTGAGACTTAAATTTTAGGCAGATATTTTATGCTGATATCATAATGCTAGCTGACTATGATGCTATGACAGCAACATAGAATACAGATTTAGGAGAAGTAAAGATTTAGATTGATAAGGCAAAATAGAAAGCCTTCTTTCCTCAAGAAATAACAGAAGATCACACTTTCTCACCCTAAGCTCCAAAATAAGTTTTCTGCTGTACTATATCTTACTGTAACATTACACATTCCTAACATGTAGCTGAAATCAGAAATGTTTCTGAAATCAGAAACAAACTTTTTCTTGCTACTTTATTTGCTAGTACCCAGACCAAGTAAGAATTGTATTTCTAAAACTTGCTGCTTCACAATATTTAGAGCAGTGGTTCTCAACCTTTTTAATGCCGCGACCCCCAACTGGTCGTAAGTCGAGGACTACTCAACCGGTCAAGTCAGGACTACTCAATTGGTGCAGCACCGTTTGCAGAATGGGATTTTTGGCGGGCTCAGCAGGGCAGAGACAGCCTGGACAATTCCTATTGGCTTTTGAAAGCCAATAGAATTAGACTCTATTCAAGAGAGTCCATTCTATTGGCTTTCAAAAGCCAATAGAATAAAAGGGAGTAGCACAGCTAAGGAAAAGGGGGGGGGGGAAAGGGCAGACTGCGTTGTTTGGCGACCCCCGTGAAATGGTCGTTCGACCCCAAATGGGGTCCCGACCCACAGGTTGAGAACCACTGATTTAGAACAACGTCTCTGAACTTCAACAACTTTTAAGATTGGTGGATTTTGATACCCAGAAGTCCACAGTTAGTGTGCACTATGGGGAATTCTAAGAGTCAAATGCCAACCACCTTAAATTCGTGAGATTTAGAAATTGGGTTTTAGACAGTCTTGTTACTCTATTCAAAATTTTTGTCTTTTCTCCCAACCCATAACAGCAAATAATTTCCAATCTAACATCCTTTTAAAAGTCTCACAGGAGTTTTGAATTGCCTTATGAACTGTTTTGAAGCTTTTCAAGAGTCAGTTCAGGGAGGGGGAAGGACCCAAAGGAACCTCAAAACTAAATATTATGGAAACGAAGAGGTTATTTGGAAACTACAGAATGGCTGGAAAATAAATAGAACTTGGGATCAGCTCGTATTTATTTATTCTTTCCTTGACTGGCGTTAGTTATCCTTAGCTCTCTGTGGAGAATATTTCAAAAGGAAAGAAAGTATTGCAGAAGAAGACCCTGGAAGAATATATTTTTTGGAAGGCAGTGAACTTCTTGCTATTCAATAACGTGTCCTCCAGCGCCTGGCTCCTTGCCACAGGCAGGCCTGGCGTGACTGCCTACCGCTTCCCCGCCTCAGGGTGTTCTCGCCGTTCTTGGAAAAAAGAACCCACCCCCTCCCCTCCCCTCCCTTCAGGAACTGGGCCAAGTTCTTTCAGTAGCCGGGTCGCGCCAGAAGTCAAGATTCCACGGCCGATACAACTATCTGATTGGTTCCACGCAGAAGAGAATTTTAATTAGAAAAACCAATGAGAAGTCGACAAAACGCCACACTCCTTTCTCTCCCCCCCCCCCGCCCGCGCTATCATCGGGTTGGGGAGTTGTCAAGGCGGATTGAAGGAAGAGAGGGGGCCCGAGGGGAAAGGGCTATTTTGAGCGGCGTAAAGGGGGTGCGGGAATTTCTTATGAAAGATGTCGTTTGTCGCCTGTTGTATCCGAAACGTGGGAGAAAGTCTTGGAGGACAGCGCGGCCTTATTGGACGCGGCAAAGACACACCTCCTCTTTCCTTCTTCTGAGGCGTTTGGATTATCCGAAGTATAAGGTTCACCCTCCAAGGTGATGGAGTTCGATGTTCGCTTTTGTCCTTTTCTGACAGTTAACCACAAGGAGGCGTGGCTTAGCCTCGACTTTTTTTCCATTTCTGACAGTTAGCCACCCTCCAGGGCGTGGCTTAATTTGAAAGCCCAGCCCCTAGAGGGAGGTGCTGCACTGGTCAATAGGTGTTGCACGTGCAGGTCATTAGCGGATTTAAAGTGAAGAGTCTTGTTAGCGCCACCTTTAGTCTTCTTCACAGCTGAGATGAAGGCTGCGCGGATTGTCCTGCGAAACGCGGCTCCTTTGGCGGCTGCTGCTGGTAATGGTAGCGGGGCCGGAGCCGAAACAACCAAAGAGGTGGAACGCTTATCGCGTTTCTCTCCGTCGCCGCTTTCTATCAAACAGTTCCTGGATTTCGGTGAGGGGCGTGAATGGGGGTGTAGGAAGGGAGAGCTCCGGTGGATTTCTCGGTCAGCCTTGGGGGGCTCCCGGTTTCATGGCTGGGAATTTGGGGACATGTTGCCCAAAACATCTATCAGGGACTGAATGGCAGGGCAGAGATCAGTGCTCTCCCACAGGAAATGCTTCGAAGTGGGGGTGTCTTTGAGGTTGTAGGTCCTTGCTTGAGAAACGGGTCCATCACTGTTTTTCTAAGCAGTGCGAAGTTTGGGTTTCTCCCCAGTGGAGAGCTTCTGAAATTGGAGAAGCCAATAGGAGAGCATGAGGGATGTGAGAAAAGTTTTAAAAAGATGGGACTGTGGATTGTATAAGGGTTATAGCATTGCCTCAGTCTTGGATTTGTCACACCGATTTAAAGTTTATTTTAGTTAAAGCCCTCCCTCTAATATCACCTTTGAGATGAGGTATTCATTGTGGGATCTGTTTCTATGAATTAGTCTGCCTTTCCAGGTGGCATTAATCTGATGTGATGCAATTCAAATATCTGAAGACATAGGCTCTAAATCATAGGGGTTTGGCCACAATCTTATATACTGCAATTTAATGTGCAACTAACAAGGTTAACTGATTAGAATAGAAACTGTTTTTAAGTAACATTGTAATGCTCATCTTTGAAGTCCATTAAGTGCTACTTTGTTTCTTCATTTTTCTTGTTCCCTTATACTCCAGGCTATTTTCATGACTATTATTTTTCTATCATTTTTGAAGAGAGTTTGCACAACTTTGTTGTGCAAAAGTTTTGCTTTACCTCAATGTAGGAATGTAGCTTGATTTGTGATAGTTCCTAAATCTTATGATGGTTGGACAATGAACTGAAGTAATGGTAATAGTAGTAAAGTTGGAAGGGACCTTGGAGGTCATCTAGTCCAACCCCCTACAGGCAGGAAACCCTACTTTTAAACAAGATAGCAATATATTTTTATATACAGTATAATGTTTATTACATTCTTAAATAAATAATGTAATACATTTGGTATTTTTGTTTTGGTTACTATTAGCATTACTAGTAGCCAGTAGTGTTGCTAGTAGTCAATACTGTTGCTAGTAGCCAATAGTGTTAATACTACTATGAATGTACATTACTGTGAATGTACTAAAAGTACTCTCATACACAAAGTACACTCCTCATTCAGTTAAATTATGTCTTACAAAATTTTTAAAGGTAGGCAAAGAAATGAGGTATTTTATTGTGGATTTTAGACAAATATTTGTAGGAATCTTTATAATTGTCTCAATGGCTTTAGTGCCTTTCCTAATTCTTCAATCTAAATGATTTACTTACATTATGAATGTATATAAAATTTTTTTGTCTGTTTTGCTAGTTTAACTGACCTTTTTTAAAAAACAAAGGCCATCTTATTTGGTATAATATTGCTTCTTGTAATATGCAAGGACAGTGTCAAATTTTCTTTATTGCTGATACTATATTGAACCATTGACCTTTGAAATGGCAGACTGTTATAATAAAAGTTAAGTATGATTGTTAAATCAGGATGTGTACAGTTATTTACAGTTTATTTGGGTTTGGATAACCCATATGGCAATTGCGTTCCATGCAAATGCATCTGTAATACAGACATTGCTACAACTGGACTACATAAAATTCCAAGTGGCAGCAAACAGAATATATATAAATCTTCTATATAATATTAATATTGCAGGAAGTTTATTGAAACTGTTTTAACACATTGTGCTGAAAATACATGTCCCTTTTTTGTAGGTTCAACAAATGCATGTGAGAAAACCTCATTCTCATTCCTTCGGCATGAACTTCCAGTTCGGCTAGCAAATATTTTGAAAGAAATTGATCTCCTTCCTAGTCTATTATTGGATACAAGTTCAGTACAGTTAGTAAAGGATTGGTAAGTAACAAATTTTGCAGTAGATTTCAATTATTACGTTTTATTCATCTTACACTACTTTCGTAATCAAGTGCAAGAAAAAATTATATATATTGACATCAGGAGATAGATCTCATGTTGACAATATATTCATTGACTACTGATGGTCTACTACTGAATAAGAGTAAGACTGTGTCCATATAGGCACTATTTTCACTTTCCAAAATATCACAATTTCATCTTTCTCTTTAGTAAACCCTCTGACTAAACTCTGCTTCTTTCAGCTAGCCAATAGCACAGTGAGAGGTAATACTATCAATAGTATCCCTACCTCCCACCCTCAGCCTTTTCTTACAGCACTCATTTCCAAATCAAGGAAGAAAAAACTGCTCACAGGGATATTTATTTATTTATTTATTTATTTATTTATTTATTTATTTATGAGACTTATATACTGCTTTAAGTGCAAGCACTCTCTAAGCGGTGTACACCAGTAAGCAATGTATATATATATTTACATTGCCCCAACAATCTGGGTCCTCATTTTACCTACCCCGGAAGGATGGAAGGCTGAGTCAACCTTGAGCCGGTGAGATTTGAACCACTGACCTGCTGAACACAGTCAGCTAAAGTGGCCTGCAGTACTGCACTCTAACTGCTGCGCCACCTCAGCTCTATGAAGGACAGGAGAAAAATCACTTTCAGATTAACTGGGGATGAGAAGGAGATAATAAGGTCCAACAGCGCAACCTTGATTTCAGCAGGGAACTCTGAAAATGTGGGATGTGACTTCATAGGAAACCCACCTAAAGAAAATGTTGCATTTTTTCCTATTTTTTATGGAGGATAGCTGAGCCAGAAATAGATTTGTTCAACTTGCAAACTTTCTTCAAGACGCACATAGTATTGGAAATATGAAGTGTGACATCGATCTTAGATGAACACAGCCTTGAATATGAAAAGGCCTGTATGAATAAGTAATAGCAAGTCCTGGAAGCCTGATGTATGTATTCTGCAGTCATTTTGTAATATCCGCTTAAAAGTAGAAAGACACTAATGACCGCTACATACATGTGTGTGTATTTTGTTACCTTATGGCACTGATCATATTACAATAAATAAACATAGATTTTGTTGCAGCTGCTGTATCTTCATTACAGACTTGCTGGCAATTCTAAAATACTGACTTGAATAAGATTGCATATCAAATGCTACAAAATATTCATGAAAACTTTGTCAATGGGTAATGAAAAGAGAATAGATATTTATAAGATGCTAAATTTTATGGGGAAAGTATTTAAAGTACTTACCTTGTTGATTTAAATACTCCAAATGTTGATTTAAACCAAGGAATTTGATGTTATTTTTCTATATTTATACATAATGAAGATCCTTCTATTTGTTCCTAACTTGCATAGTTTTTGAAGTTACAGTTAACACTGCTTAGCCCTATATGTGTCAAGAGGTTTTCCAAGGACTCTGTGTGTGTGTGTGTATGTGTGTATGTTTCGTCAGGTCAGTTTTGACCCCTTGTGACTGCCTGAACAAGTCCCTAAAATTTTCTTGGCAAAGTTTTTCAGAAGTAGTTTACAACTGTCTCCTTCTTAAGAGTGTGAGACAATGATTGGCTAAGGTCACCAGCTGGTTTTGTGTCTGAGGTGGGACTAGAATGCATGGACTCCCTGTTTCTAGTCCAATCCCTTAACCACTACATTAAATTATATCTTTGGCCTGTATGGATAGTCTCATATTTGCATTACTTGTGCTCTTTACAGGTATATTCAAAGCCTACTGGAACTAGTGGAATTTCAAGATAAAAAATCAGATGACCACAAAGCTCTTTCAGAGTATGTTTCTTTCTGTTATCTTTTTTTCAGCAGCTTATTCTATTTTAAGTAATGATTGGTTAATGTTGGATGATTCAGCTAACTTGAAACACAGAACTTAGATAACTAATTATAATACAATGAAATAATGATGCAGGAGCATAACTAATGTAGCAAAAAGTGACACTTTGAAACAAAGTATATCAACAATAAATTATGAAGTTTCAAAGTACTATTCATAACAATCAGTTGTCTTGATTTGATATATGAGGAAGTAAACTAATGCATTTACATTTTCTCTTTTATGTTTTGTAAGAATATTTGTTTACTACAATTATGGTTTTCAGAATTTCTTATATAGGTAAATATGAAGTTCTGTGTTTCTCCCAGTTTCATAGATGCCATTACTAAGATCCGAAACAGACATCATAGTGTAATACCCATGATGGCACAAGGGGTATTAGAATACAGAGATTCCTCTAAAATGGATTCATGCATCAATCACAATATTCAGTACTTCTTGGATCGATTTTACATGAACCGGATATCTATTCGAATGTTAATAAACCAGCACAGTAAGTTACACTTTTATTCTTTTGACAAACCAACTTTTATAGGCTATTGAGAATGTTTTTTGGGGGAAAATGGTTCTTCAATTTCATATCTTTATTTCAACAGCATTTATATTTGATAGCAGTAATGTGTGTAACCCACGGCATATTGGATGCATTGATCCTCGCTGTGATGTTGTGGATCTGGTGTATGGTATGTATAAAAATGGAAGTTTTACTTATAGTTGTCATATAGTTTGATGTGTAAACAGCAGTCATACATTGCAGTAAACTATTAATGTGGTTTGTTGGTTTTTGGCTTAGCTTAGGAATCAGAATATATTACATTTTAATGGCTTGCTCAAAGAAATCATGGTTTAGAATTAAATGTGAATGCAGGGAATGTTTTTTTCCTAGGGTATACAACAAATTTGAGAAGATGTAAGATTTAGACTTCCCAGTGAAAAAACTACCAATAGTTGATTAATTTAAACAGCAGTGTTGCTAAATTGCTCAGGTAGTTGAATGAACACAACATAAATTATGGTAGCTGGTCCTAGTAAGACAGTTGTTTTCATTCATAAAATTCTGTTTATTATTTAGCCAAAATCTGGTTGTTGCAAATTTAGGCTACAATCTTAGAACAGTTGATTTCTGTGTTACAAGAAGATATAAAAAGTTCAGAAAATCAGATATAAGAGTATTATGATGAAATCTTACATACATTTACATGGTTGTAAGTCCTGTTCAGTTCTGTGATATTTTATTTTTTGAATAAATGTGTATAATATCTACATGAAAACACCAGGTTAGTTATTCAGAGCTTTGGCGATGGCTGCCATCATTACCCTATTAATAAATAGCTATGCTCTATTCAGTTGTATGATTCCAAGGAAGCAATTGATTCCTCTGAATGTTGCCTATTCAGTAATGGGCTGGATAAGGGAGAACAAGCTTAAATTAAATCCAACAAAGCAGAGATGCTCTAGGTATAACAAAAACACTAAACTTGGAAAGTGAGATGAAGCCTGTTTTGAATGCAGTTCTAGAACCCCAGAAAGAAAAAGTTTGCAGGTTAGAAATTATTCTTCAGATTGTATTTGCAAATGGTGGCTTCATTAAGCATATATCCATAAATGTCATTAATGTGCTAATTATAATATTCCTTGAATTCATCAGAATTGGTAACAGTCATGTCTTGGTTATAAACCATCTTGATCAATGCAGTGGGCCTACAGTACTCTTGAAAAGTATTTCAAAACTGTAGTTGGGTGTCAAGGAGTCTATTAGTTGCAGACCACTACAAAGTAATGTGTGATAACCTTTATTGACACAGGTGTTACCCACTGCCTGCCAGATGCAATGTTAAGTTGTTAATGTGGCCCTTTGAAGTCCTAAATGGTGTAAGGCCTGAGAATCTGAAAAGCTGCTTCTCCTGCAGTCAACCTGCCTCAGTACTTAAATCACTAGGAATGGCTTTATTTTGAAGATGCTGCCGCTGTCAGAAATTCAATATTCTGGTATATGGGAGAAGGTCTTTTTCTCCATGGCATTCAGGATATGGAATGCTCTCCTAAGGAGATTAATGTAGTCCCATATCTCTAGTATTTAAGAAATGTTTTAGTTGTTAAATTTAATAATACTGTTCATTTAATTGTACTACATTCCTTATTGTGTTCTTTATGTTGTATTTTATTTTTGTAAGCCACCTTGAGTGCTTATATAAGCAGAAAAGCAGTTACAAATATAACATTTAATAAAAGAAATATATCATTATAGAGAAATTTAAATCTATTTCAATAGTGTTTTAGGCCCATAGTAGATTTGCTGGACATAATAAATCAATTCTTGTAAATAATAGAAAATCTACACAATAAGTTAATTACATGAATAATATTGTACAATACTGGTTTGTCTGGTGTTTAGAAAATAATACTATGACATAAAATTTGTTTAATCTTGTTTTTTAAAATACATTTTAGATTCTTTTCAGAGTTCTCAGATGCTTTGTGATCAGCACTATTTTGCTTCTCCAGAGTTAAAGCTTACTCAAATAAATGGTAAGATTTTTTTTCTGACTGTACTAGTCTGTTTCTGAAAGCTTTTCACTTTCCGTAATCCTTACTGCTGTTTTTCTTATCTTCAGTAAATATGTCCTAGAATTGCTAGCTAATCACATTTTCCCTACAGATAATGCTTACATGTGCACAGCTGCATTCATTCACTTATGCAGCACTGTGCCAAATACAAAAGGACCTTGACATGCAATTGTGCAATAGTTGATTTCAGGGTATATTAAAAAAAAAATCACTACTCACTATACACTTGCAATAACCAAGAAAATTTTATCATAAAAGATAGGCCAGATAAGTCCCCCAAATCTGTGCTGGCAGATTATAGGGAAAGATGTAATATGAAAATGTATAAAGATCAATCTCAGAATTCAGTGTGGGATGCACAGATTTCATTGAAAACTTTCTTTTCATCCACAATAATTGTTTGGAATAAAATTCCAGTAATAAAATAAAAGTTTATGTATGTCTGCTGTATTTTTTTTTTTTTTAGCAAAAGCACCTGGAGAGCCTATTTACATAGTATATGTACCTTCTCATCTCTTTCATATGCTGTTTGAACTGTTCAAGGTTTGTAATTGGTTTTAAAGTTTGTATTTTAAGCTTGCATTAGGACATATTTATTCCATATTTAGCTGAAATATTATTTTCAGTATCTGTCAAAAGCATACTAAAAGTATGGGATGTCACAACCAAAGTACTACAGAATGGTATCCTTCCCAACATTATTATTCCAATAATAATTAAAACAGAGACTGATGACTAAAGCTAAAATGGCCCTTTCTGTGCATTTAAAATAGGGTCCTGACAAGGGAGAGACTACAGGAATATTTGTTTATTATTAAATTGTTTGCCACCCATTTTGCTGCAAGGCAACTCACTATCTTTGAATCTTTGTTATAGGTTTTCCTGTTAATATGACAAAAGAGCTATTACTCCATTAGTCAACTATATATACACTGTTCATTTTCCTTATTGTCAAAAGCAAATTCCTCTTAATGAGATAGGGCAAATTTTAATATTTTGAAAACTTTACAAGCTAAATTCAGTTCTTCTTAATTTCTGTATAGAATGCCATGAGAGCAACAGTTGAACATCAGGAAAAAAAATCTTCTCTTGATCCAATTGAGGTGACTGTTGTACTTGGAAAAGAAGACCTAACTATTAAGGTATTTTCCCTTTTTAAAATAACAGCCCCCTGGGATTTGAATTGCAGATTCTCCTATTTCTTCCTGGGTTCTAATCTATACTTTGTAAACAGAACTGCTAAATTTATAGCTAAGTCAGTTGACCAAAGGACTCCTTATATTGATCAGATTGGGATATAATGTAAAGGTGATGTATTTACCTGAATGTTGATTCTTTATATTTAGCACTTTTGTATTTTATTAAGATATTTTCCTTGTATCTGTTTTACTTTGGACTTACTGTATATCCTGTATTTTATTTTATATTTCATATAGTCATAAGTTTAATCAATCAATAAGCTATCTAATATTAAGGTACTTACTACATTTGATATGAGAGTTAAATAATAGCAGTAAATAACTTATTTTATTTTATTATTTAAAATATTTATATAGCTTTCAACTAATTCTGGGTGTCTCCAAATAAAAAATCCAATATATAAAATATATAATCACTTACAACTCTAAAACTCAACTAATTAAAACAAAAAGCACCAGTCAGTTCTAATGTGCACATAATCTTCTCCCAATGTTTTTTGGGGAAAATCCTTATTTAGAAAACCTTACAAAGGCTAAAAGGGTGACAGCCTACTGAACTTCACAAGGCAGCATGTTCCATGTCTGGGCCACTACAGAAAAGACAGACTTTCTTGGTACCATCAGATAATTTTTAGGTGAAGGGACTAGCAGCATGCCCATTCTATCTGATCTGATAGGAAGGGTAGATGTCTTAAAAGAAAGGTAGTCCTGCAGATAACCTGGCCCTGTGCCATATAGAGTATTAAAATATGATGACCAACATCTTGAATTGCAGCTGGAAAGAAACTGTTAGTCAGAGCAACAGAGGTGTTATCAGCAAAACTACAGGCCCCCATTATTGTGCACACCACTGCATTCTGGACCAGTTGAAGTTTCTGAGTGATGTTCAAGTGCAGCCCACATACGAGTGCATTGTGGTAATCCAGATGGGAAGTGAGCAGTGCCTGAGTGATCAGGAAAGGATACACCAGATGCACAAACAAATATCTGTAAAGATCTCTCCTAGCCATAGCTGCCACCTGCTCCTTGAGCAGGAGATGTGACTCCAAGATCCCCAAATTGCACACCACTCAGTCTGATGAAGGGCCACCCTGTCCAGAGTGAAAGATGAAGAACCATTTATCCTTGTTTACTGTTGGAAAGGCCTTTTAATTTAAGTAGACTTATCATGGAATAAATAGATAGGTTATAGATTGCAACCAATTAGAACTAGGCAAATAATCTCCAGTCAAATGCTATTTTGGCAAAATTTCTTTTTTGTAAATTAGCAAGTCTGATACAAAAAGAGTCATTAGAGAAGATGACTATTTCAACTACAAATAATTTGTTAATTACATGGGTATTTTTTTTCTCTTTAACTAGGTTTCTGACAGAGGTGGTGGAGTTCCAGTGAGGATAATCGAAAAACTCTTCAGCTATACATATTCTACAGCACCAAAGCCTGTGATGGATAGCAAAAATACTGCTATGGTAAGAGATGAAACCATAGGGCTATGGTGCATAAAGTCAGTTAGCTATTGATGCTCTTGGCATTATTTTATAGACATAGGGACAAGTGAGACACGGGATGCTTCCAGCTGGAAAGTCTTTGTATCAAATGACTGTATTATTCCTTGCAGTAATTACTAGGAATTCCAAAAGAACCTTCTCATTGAGAATTAAACTGTGATAAGCTGTATATTCATGAAACTAGGGGTCTTCCATGATTGAATGCCATATATAAATCCCTTCCAGATAGGATGTTGAAGTCATGAGTTCTAGCTTAATCATTTCTATGAAATCTTGATAAATCATAAGTTCTAGCCTAATCATTTCTATGAAATCTTGATACTTCTATAGGGAGGGATTATTCTGACCCAAGAGCACTAATATCCCATTTTAAAAGATAGGCCAAATGTGATATGTGCGGAAGAAATTAAATCTGTTTCAACATAGCCATTAAAACGCAAAACTAGAAACATACCTTTTGCACTTTCTTCTCAACATTGTTTTATTATACCATAGAATGCTTATTTAGCAAGTGTTTAAAATTAAAAGTGCCTTTGTTCTACTTGTAGGAGAGATAAGATTTTCATTGAGACCCTTAACCACTAAGCTACCTGAATTGAATACAATTTAAAACAAGAGGGGTAAAAATCCCTCATTTCAATTAATGAAAAATATTTTATTTCTTTTTAGGCTGGATTTGGTTATGGATTACCGATTTCTCGTCTTTATGCTAAATACTTTCACGGAGATCTCAATCTGTACTCTATTTCGGGGTATGGAACAGACGCTGTTATCCACTTAAAGGTGTGTTCTGTACTTTTATTTCTCTTTTTTATTTGTCCTACTAGTAATTTATTCATTGTCCCTTAAAAAAAATAATAAAAAGCCTTTATTTATAATTTGTACAATTTTATTTATTTATTTATTAAATTTGTTTGCTGCCCATCTTGCTAAGAGACAGCAATGATCCTTAGCAGAATATACTTTTTATTCTGTTTAAATAGTTTGTTGCAAATGATTTATTGTTTATCATATTATTGGTTGAATTATAAACTATTTTGATACAGAATTATGCTAGGCTGTGTTCAAGATTTGATTTGAAAAAGTGGAGTAAAATGTTTATTAAGTCTGGGTATTTATTATAAACTCAATTCTATCTCCTAAAAGTAATTTGGCTTTTTTAAAACATAAAATAAATCAGGCCTCTCAAAGCAGCTATATCAATTAATACCACATATATCACCTATTCTGTCTGGAAGACAGAAATGAAAAATTGTACAACGTCTTATAAAATGTGAAAACAATGTTTAATCTAGCAGAATAATATCTCATTATTTAATCAATCCATTATAAATATGTATGCAAATAGTGGCAAAATAAGTTTAAATACTCTAAATAGTAATAAGTGTCTATTTCAATCTGTGTTTTTAACTTTTCAGGCACTTTCTGCAGAATCTGTAGAGAAACTTCCTGTTTTCAATAAATCTGCATGTAAACATTATCAGACCTCAGTAGAAGCAGATGATTGGTGTGTTCCTAGGCAAAAAACAAATTTGTCAACACAGAACATTGTTGTGTGAAGATTACATTTGTCTAACACACTGAGATGGGATCAAATCAGTTTCAGAAGGGATTAATGAAGTAAATTACTTGAAGTCACTACTGTTCAATACGAAGACTTAGATGAAAAAATATATATTGAATGAATTCTACAACACAATGTATAAATGCTATGTTTGTACAATGTAAACTATTAGAAGAATCAAAGGGATGATACACATATTGGTCTTCTTGAAGTCTATATGGTAATACACATATTGGTCTTGAAGTCTAGATTAACACTCCAAATGTTTGCAGATACCTATGTTTTGGTATGTTCAAAAATTGCATGTTTTGTGTGAATATCAACACAAAATAATATTTTTTTTCTTATAAGAGTTACTTATATGTTATATTTACAGCCTGTGGGAAAGTCTAGTTGAACATTACTTTGTTACAAAGCATAATCTTAAAAAGAGATATGATATAATGGTGAATTCCAAATAGTTAACTTTACTTGAATTTTCACAAATTGCTATATGTGAGCACAATATCTTTCAGTTGTTTTTCAAAATATTGGATTAGAATATGAATGGGAAATAATCTGAAAATATTAAGAAAGTTATGGGTATCTATTATGAAAGTATTGATCAGAAAATAGTAGCTATATGACTTCTAGCTATGTATATTGAGGAAATGGAAAACTATGAAGGATTTTCAAAAGAATTGAAATGGATGGGATTAGGTCATTCTTTAACTGAATAGGATATGAGGCTATCAGTAAAAAGAAGCAACTTTTGTTAATGGAATTGTTTATGCAACCATCAATTTGGAATGATTTCATAATATGGATTTAGGTTGTATTTGATACTTAATTTGACAGCCTCCTTCTGTTCTTCAAATAAAATGCAACTTTAAAAATGTATTGGAGGTCTTTCATAAGAGCGTAATGATAAATAGGCTGGTGGAGCATATAATATCTACATTTTTAAGAATTTAGGAAATACATTAACAAGAAAAATAATTATCCATGCAGCAGCAAAGAGTGACAATGGTAAAATATTTTGTGAAGAACTGGTTGTAAAAATACTCCGTTTAAGGAATTAGTGCTTCTTAAAACCAAGAATTAAGGGCCCAGCTAGTATTAATATAGATTGTCCCATCATTTCTTTTTAAGACAGAATTGCTAAAGAGCTAATCCTAATACATTTTAAGGAATTATTGTGACAATTTCACATTGATTCTTATTTATGGCAGTTTTATCACTGCTGTATTTGCTAATGTCCACTTTTGCATGAATTCCAGATTCATGTAAGTATTCCCATCCATATGAGACTCTTGTGTGTAGTTGGTACAGTGTTCCAACAAAGGCTTAGCAGTTAAACATTTATGAAACATTGAATGTTTTCTGCTGAAAATATAGTGCAAGTATTGAATGTTAACTATTATTAGGTTCTAATTATGAAAAAGAAATCTAGTTGTTATACTAATAGCAAGTGCATAGTTGGTAATCAGAGTGCAGTAAAAATACTTCTGATGAGATATTTATGGATTACTTGAGCGGGTATCACAAGCGGTATCAAGGTAATAGCAATAGTACAGATTTTAATCCAAAATTTTGGTTGTTACAATAATACTTATTACTATGATACACTTTGACCAGTATAGTATATAACATAAAAAGTTGCTTTGCTAATATTGCTGCTGATCTGCTGCATGGTCTTGCAGAAGAGCTGGAGACTTTCTGGAATAAGGAATCAGCCAAAGCCTTAGACAGGATTGCGCTTATGCACAAAACTCCCCATGATTTATGGAGGGGATGAGGGAGCTGAAAAGGGTCAAGCAATCTGGCAAGAACAGGATGGATGTGGTGCATCCAATCTTGTCCTTCTTGGCAGCTTTCATATTTTTGACTCTGGCAATCTTTTGGGCTAACTTAGAGAGTTGGGGGATGGGTGGAACAATTTTGTGCTGGCTCACCTCCTTCATCTGCTGTTTGGTGTTGATAGGGAGTAAGAGATCCACTTAAGGCCTCTGTTTTATGGGATACCATAGGGTTCGGTTCTCTCTCCATTCCTTTTAAACTTCTACATGAATTTGCTGTCTGGGATCATCTGTCACCATGGGATGAAGTATCACTAATATGCTAATGATACCCAGTTATAAATTTCAGTTCTGGGGAAAGTAGATGATTTAATAGATACCTAGAGGCTATGGGGGCCTGGATGAGGAAGGACAGATTTCAGCTGAACCCTAGTAAGATAAAGTGGCTATCGGTGGGTCCCTCTGTATCCAGGAGCTTATCATTTTGGGTGGATGGAGTTGCACTACTGACAGACATGGTACTTAACCCTCCTGGACTCACACTCCTGCTCAAAGAACAGGTGGCAACCATGGCTAGGAAGACCGTTGCTCAAATTTGTATTGTGTGACAGTTATGCCCTTTCCTAGATAGGAAGGTTCTCTGCTTGGTCACTCATGTCCTGGTCATCTCTTGTTTAGATTATTGCATAGCATTGTACATGAAGCTATCTTTGAAAAGTATCCAGAAGCTTGAGCTAGTACAGAATGCATGAATAGTTTTGGATGCCCAAAGAAGGGTACATGCAATACCTTTGCTCCATGAATTGCATTAGATGCCAGTTTGCTTTCAATACAACTGAAGGTATTAATTATGACCTATAAAGCCCTACATGGCCTAGGACCAGGCTACCTACTGAAGTATCCTTGTACGACCCAGTAAGGCAGGGAAGATATGTTGCATATATGTTATCAATTAAAGAACTTTGACTGGCCGGTCCAGAAAGATAGCCTTCCCTGCGATTGCCCCCATTCTATGAAATATTCTTCCCCACCCCCAAAAGTGAGGTAAGTCACCACTATCCTGGCCTTTTGAAAAAGAGTTAAAACATTGCTCTGTGGGGAACCCAGAGGAACACAGGGCTGGCTAGTGCCCTGAAAGTCCTCCCTTAGCTTTTTAATTAATTTTAATAGTGTTTTATCTTCCTTGACTCTTTCTAAATTTGTTAACTTTTATATTCTGTTTTTATATTTTAATACTTTGTTGCACACCACCTACAGACCCTCTTTGAGGAAGATGTGTGGTTAAAAAATGTGAAAATTAAAAATAAATTTTAAAATAAACATTGTTAATCCATGCACTGCCTCTACAAAATTACTAAAGGTGCGGTTTTTGTGTTGTTATCACAATCTGTCTTTCTAAGTTACTGAATATTTTAAAGAACTTGTATTGGACTGGAACAAATATGAGCCTACGTACACTTAAGAATATTTTTTGAGCAAAATAAAGTTGAATGTTGTTTTGTGTACAACACATTTTATCAAAAGCCTGCCAAATGTAAGAAAACTAAGTATTTTTAATTTTAGAATGAATCATTTCTGTCACAATTTACATTCTGGAACAGGTCACTTGAAATACACTATGCTTATAATAAAATGTTTTTTTAATATTGCTGGACTCTGTCTTTCATAAATATATGTGTCTATCTGCTATGCCAGTAGTGGCAAACCTATGGCATGGGTGCCAGAGGCAGCACTCAGAGCCCTCTCTATGGGCACGCATGCCATCGCCCCAGTCCTAGGCCTTCAGCTGGGTTTTATAAAACATTTTCACTTTAGGCCTCCGCTTCCATGTGCAAAAAAAAAAAAAAAGGTTCAATCAATCAGTCAATTTCAACTTCTCGGGGGGGGGGGAGAGATCTTGCAAAGTTGGAATTGATTGATTGAACTTTTTAGTCCCACCCAGTCTGCTGTTACTACCGCAGCCATGCCCATCCAATGGGCCACACCCCCCAAATTGGCCACACCCAATCAATGGCTACACCCAGCCAATGGGCCACACCCACCCGGCATCCGACAATGCATAAGTGGGTTTGGGTTGCAGTTTGGGCACTCGGTCTCTAAAAGGTTCACCATCGCTGTGCTATGCTATTCATGAAATGTATTTATTTGTTCAACTGTTTATTCCATTTTTGGACTAACACTATGACTGTTGTTCTGACATTTCAGCTCTTAGGCCTGGAGAATAAAATATATGAAGAATGGCTGCAGGATTTGGATTTAGCTAGTCTAGAGGAAAAAAAAGACTAGAGTCACAGGATAGCAGTATTCCAGTATTTCAGGGGCTACCTCAAAGAAGAGGAGGTTAACTTATTCTCCAAAGCACCAGAGGGCAGGACAAGAAACAATGGTTGGAAACTGATCAAAGAGAGAAGCAACCTGGAATTAAGGAGAAACTTCCTAACATGATGACAATTAACCAGTGGAACAGTTTGCCTTCAGAAATCGTGGGTGCTTCATCACTGAGATTTTAAGGAAGAGACTGGCAGCCACTTGTCTGAAATGATATAGGGTTTTCCGCTTGAACAGGGCTGGAAGACTAGAAGACCTCCAAGGTCTCTTCCAGCGCCTATCCTATCACATCCCATTCTTATGCTGGAGCCTGTTAATTTCATCAGTACTTTCTTTGGAAGCAAAATATAACAACACTCCCTGGGACTCATGCACTTGAGTCAGATTTTGGGGTACAAAGACATCATAGCATTAGCAGTAGCTCTTAGACTTACAGTATATACCACTACACAATGCTTTACACAGTGACTAAACGCATGCCAGAATGTTCTGTGATTAAAATCAGCCAGGGGTGTGGTAAGGACTTCTGACATTAGCCTCTAGTCCCCTGATCATCTTTGTTCATGTACATGGTAGAATTTCCACTGAAGCAAAATAGAAGTTACAAACAAACAAACAATCCACTGTCTTCTTGTCCTTTTAACATATAAAAGGAGCATCAAATTCATTTGAATACAGGTAGATTTGTTAGAGCAAAATGAATTGGCTATTAAAATATGTCACTTTTTGCACATTAACAGATTTCTCCATTCTTTACTAGATCAGACTAACGTGACCCTGTTTATGCCTTTCCTTTGATATACTCCAAGTCTCATTCCCTAGTAATATAGCCATATCTTCTGAGATATATAAAAACTAAAGTTTATCGATTTTGAAGGAAGAGACTGGAAGAAGCTGATATAGAAAATGTATATATAGCTCACAGATACGTGTTCCTGTCTATGGTCCCTTGACTCATCACACATTTTACAGAATACAATATATCTATACTCTCAATTTGTAAATACTAGCATGCATAGGAGGATGAGTCTTCTGCTTTAAATTAGAATTTAAAAGTTGTCCCTAAAAAATAAAATTACATACCTTCTTTTTCTTGTCAAAAAGATAGAATTTATTACTGAGAAAACATTCAGAGCAGATACAGTCATATTTGGCAAATTCAAGATAAAATAAGTTTTACTACACTGCAATGACTACTTTTGTACCAGAGGCCATAAAACAAATATCAGCTATTAAGGCAAAGCTCCCTAACCTTTCTGGGTTGGCGACCCAGAAGGAAAGGAAGGAGCAGGTAAATGTGTGCATGCCGTCGCATGGTGGTGGCACTAGTGCCCACATGCATGTGCAACCAGGTCATGTACACCCATAGCATGTATATGTAAAAGGAAGAAATGGCACCAGTTTTCTTATTGAATTTTTCCAGCCAGCCAAATTATGACTTTTGTGTTACAGAATTCAGAATTAATTTCTACAAAAAAGGTAATCCAAGTGACTTCTTAAAAAGAATTAAGATGCCAGCGAAGCTTTCAAGTACTTTTGTAGAGATGTTTCTAATATAGTAAATAAAAAGTACAATCTTGGAATGATGAAAAGATAAATAGCAAATGGTAGTCTTTTCACTGGAAAAACTTAGTAAAATGTATATAGTATGTACAATGTTATTTAATTTATATATTTCAGCTATCATATCTTGGATATCTCTCTCTGAAGAGTCAGTATATGAAAGCAAAAAAGCAAAAACTGTTTTTGTGCTTCTATGCTTTCATCTAACGGTTACCTTGTTTTTGAAACTCAGATTGTTAATGCTAGTTTAGATTAGAAAGCTGATTAGAAAGAATATGCCTTTTTAACATTATGCAAATATTAATCCAGATGAGTTTTTTAGTTCACTGTTTGCATCTTGATATGCTTTACAAACTTTTTTAAAAAGCAATGTGGAAAGGGTCTACTCATAAAGAGAACATATAAACATCCAAATGTGCTGTGTGGTTTTGATGATATATTTTATAAACCCCACCAAAAAGATTTATTTGGTTAAGCAAATTGCAGTTGTCACACTATATAAACCACTGACTCAACAGAGAAAAATATGAAACTGTATACCATGTTTCCCCAAAAATATGACTTACCCTAGCTTGATTTTTTGGGGGTGGGTCTTATATAAGCCCTATCCCAAAAATAAGCCCCACTTATTTGCTAAGACATAAGATGAGGTGAGCCGGGAGGAGGGGGAAACTGCCGCATTCACCCCACACCTGCTTACCATACCGCAAGGCTCTTGGTATTGCTGTTACTGTAAGGCACGAAATACCACCATCATGAGGTGAGTCCTGCTGCAATTGCCACTGCCATCCTGCTGCTATTGTTGCTGCCACAAGGTGCATTGTGCGACCACAAGGTGCATCTCACTGCTGCTGCTGCCCTGAGGCGCATCCTGCCACTATTGCCACTGCAGCGAGGCGCATCATGCTATTACAAGGTGTGTCCTGCCATTGCCGCCACAAATCCTGTGATGCACCTCATGGGGGCAGCAATGACAGAACACACCTTGCGGTGATGTGATGTGCCTTATGGTGGCAGCAACAGCAGCAGGATGCACCTCACGATGGCAGCAATAGCAGCAGGACACGCCTCATGGCAGTGGCAGCAACGGCAGCAGGACACGACAGTGGCTACTACAGCATGATGGGCCTTGTGGTGGCAGCGGCAGCTGGAGCCCTGCCACATGGTAAGCAGGTATGGGGCATGTGGGGCAACTCCTGGAAAAAAAATAAGACATCCCCCAAAATAAGACCTAATGCCTCTTTTGGAGGCAAAAAAATATAAGACTGGGTCTTATTTTTGGGGAAACATGGTAGTCTTGCTGGCTACAAAACAAGATATATCACTAAAAACTTTGGCTTCCCCTGAGAAGAGAAGAATAAGGAAATGAGGAAGAAAAGAAATAACCTATCTTGTCCTTGGAAGTACTTTGCATCAGTTAGAGAAAACCCTATCCCACAGCTTTAAATATCTTAAACTCTGAGTATGCTGGGATCCAGAATCAATTTGTGGTCCTAAAATCTCTATATCACAGTGCCTTGCCCCAGAAAAGTGCAGTAGAATAGGAATCCTGCCTTCGTAGGAGGAGAGGACTTCATTGCAATTGTGCCACTTCTATTTATGCTGCATAGCCAAGCTTTATGAAAAGGATTAAGTGTTTCCTAATGCTTGACAATACTGGAATCAGTTGTAACAAAGCTGGAAGATTATTCCAACTGTTTTGAGGCTGTAAGCTTTCAAAAACAGAGAGTTAAGCCTGCCTCCCATTGGTTCTTCTTAGCTCTAGACAACTTGAAATGAATCGACAGGTTTAAATAAAGGGCAGATCAGTTGCAGACACTTTCAGATGAACAGGACTTGTGGAGGTTATGTTCCAAACAACAAAGATGTAAATATAAAGGTTACCAAGCTGTTAAAAATAACCTTCAGGCAAACTAAATTGGTTCTCAGTCAGTAGCTATTACTTCTTGTTTTTCTTCTTTTGCTTACAGTTTTTCCATTCCTTATTTGGGGGAGGCTTTTATGCTAAGCAAACTTATATTATATTATTCCTGTCAGAGACAGATAATCTGCAGTTTTCCTTCCTTTCTTTTTTAAATGTTTTCTTGGCATTGTTCTTCCATTCTCACAAATCTGTTAGGCTGTTAGCAGAGAGAACAACATGTACCCTGCTACCAGTTACACAGACAATTCAAAAAAACATGTTTATGTGCAGCAGTGACAAAGGGTAAGTCATGGAGTGGCACCCCCACCCTCCAAGCACATAGTAGAGCTCTAAAAGTGAAAACCAAAGAACATTGCAATGAAACTCAGATTTTCATAGATGCATGTTCTGTCTGTCAGCAGGTTTATTTCTTAATCTGGGAAAAGTGAAATTATTTTACATAATTTTATTTGGCTTTATATAAAATGATAAATCTATTTTTTTTATTCTGCTAAGCATTACAAAAGCATTCAGCAATGGATGTGCATCTTCACTCTGGCATTTCCCCCACCCTATAATTTGTTAGTTACATGCACATTATCACTAGATGGTAGCAAAGAGAGAATGCTAACTCTGTAGAAGAGGAGCAGGTAGATCATGGGGGCAAAATCAAGAGAGGATAAGCCTAGAATCATCATGTAGTCCACAAATGCTTCAGGTCCACCCCCTCTTGAATTCTGTTAACTCTTATCTAGTGCCAATATAGTTTTGACCATTAGTTGACCAGATTCTTATGTATAGGCTTGAGCAATAAATCTTATGAATTTGAATTTATGTGTGATCATGATTCCTCA